ATTGCTGAAAGACTAACATTCAAAATCTCTGATTTTTTAGGGTTTATCTTCAAGTTAGATACCTTCCCATACTGTTTTAATATTTTCAAAGTTATTCTAGGGTTAGCAACATAGAACAACATATCGTCTGCATAAGCCGTGACTTTATGTTCTATTTCTAATAATTTTATCCCCCTTATATCCGTGCATTTCCTAACCCTTTCCAAGAGTAGCTCTAATGTCAGTAAAAACAGTAATGGGGAAAGTGGACACCCTTGCCTAGTTCCGTTATACATTTTAAAGAACTGAGAGAGGGAGCCGTTTACTTTTACCGCAGCTGATTAAGCTTTATATAATTCTTTTATCCATTTCATCATTTTCGTTCCAATTCCCAGTGATTCCAGCGTATCAAACATAAATCCCCAATTGACCCTATCAAAGGCTTATTCCGCATCGATCGATAATAATATTACCAGTGTTTTTTTTTTTTTTGCTCTTTATATCAATATCAGGGATCTCAAACCATTATCCTTCCCCTCTCTTCCCAGGATAAAGCCTACCTGATCCAGATGTACCCATTCAGGCATCAGGTCTTTCAAACTTGTTGCCAGGATCTTTGCGTAACAAGGTGTTTAATAATGATATCGGCCTAAAGCTCGCACATTGTGAACTGTCCCTACCTTCCTTCAAAATGAGCGTGATATAGGCTTGCAAAGATTCTTCCCGCATTTCTAATTGCTCTCCTATTGCGTTCATAAGTATACATGTTTTTGATACCAGAAGCTCTTTACATTTTTTCAAGTACCTTACTGTGTACCACGGGCGGATTGACAACTCATGGGGCTCCCGGGCAATAGGGGATCATGGGGCCCCTGTGTCCTTGCCCAAACTCAAAAAAGTCTATGAAAAAGGTACCAGGGAATTTCATGGGGCCCCCTACTGACCCTGGGCCCTCGGGCAGTGCCCGAGTTTCCAAATGGTCAGTTCGCCCCTGCTGTGTACCCATCTGGTCCTGGGCTTTTACCTACCGTCATTTTTTTTAATGCTATATTAATTTCCTCTGGGGTAATAGGACTCTCAAGGCTCTCTAGTTTTTCCTAAGTTAGTCATAACAAACCTGCCTCATTTAAATATTTCTGTCTTCTTTTTCTCTTTTCCTCCTCTTTTCCCTTTTGGTTCCCCCCCTCCACATCATATAATTCAGTATAATAACTGTGAAATCTCTTAGCGATATCAGATGTCTTATATACGATCTCACCCTTACCATCGCTAATTTTTTCTATAAAGTTCCTAAGTCTTCTCATTAAATGTTTTCCGGGTCTATTCCCCCATTGATATCTTTCCTTTGCAACTTTATTAAATATCCTCCTAGTTTCTTGTTCCATCAGATCTTTCAACTCGTCTCTTTTCAATATTATCTTCTGATATACTTCTGTTTCATTCTTTATTTTATGTCTTTGTTCTAATTCATATAGTTCTTCTATTATCTTCTTTATTTTTTCCCTCTTTTTCCTTCTTCTTTTTTATTACTATCAAAATCAATATTCCTCTAATATATGCTTCGTGTGCCTCCCATACCGTTGCCTCAGATATCCCCTCGGTCTCGTTATCTCGAAGAATTGTTAAATTTCCTGTTTTAAACCTCTCGAAGAATTGTTAATTTTCCTGTTTTAACCTCTTCTCTACCTCAGGATCTTGTAGAAGCATTTCATTCAGTTTCCAAGAGGAAATTTTATCTTTACCTGCACCTGTTTGTAACCCCGTCGTGACAGGAGAGTGATCAGATACTGACATGTTTCTATATTTGATCCTTTCAATATCTCCAACTGTCTAAGCTCAATCATCATATAATCCAATCTGGAGTATGAGCTGTGAACCTGCGAGAAGAAAGTATAGTCTCTTTCCCTTGGGTGGTTTATTCTCCATACATCTACCAATTGGTGTTTGTACAATAGCTTTTTTAATGATTTAAGATTCCCATCCCCCTCTCTCCTCGTTCCCAGTGAAGCATCCCATCTAGGGTCCAAACATAGATTAAAGTCTCCTGCCATGACCAGGTACCCCTTTTTAAATTCTGAAAGTTTCCTTAATGTACCTTAGAAATCCCACTGGGTTTTTATTCGGACAATATATATTATTATCAAATGTATATTCCTGGAGAGTTCTGAAGTGGCCAGCAATGACCCCGAGATCTAAAATCCCATTGAACACCTGTGAGAGATCTTAAAATTGCTGTTGGGAAAAGGTGTCCTGCAATAAGAGAGACCTTCCTTTTAACTTTCCCCTGATGAACAGGTACCATGTGTACGACCCTTCGGGTCTTCCATTCTGTCCTCCAGAGAAAAGTTAACTTTTGCTGAAAACCCAGTTGCAACTCCTTTTGCCGCCCTTACAGGTGAGTCCACGTATATCCAAGTTTGATGATATTTCGAATAAAGATTCACATTTGTATTTCTGGTTAAGTGGGTTTCTTGGAGAAACATTATATCTATTGAGTATTGCTGAATTTCCCTAAGCATCTTATGTCTATTTTTAGGGGAATATAGCCCTTTCACATTATAAATCATAAACTTAATCCAGTTTGTTACTCCCATAATTGCTCTTACTTTTTGACTTCCATTCATTTGATGTTAAATACAGATAGTTTCTACTATACTCTTTCTCCTCTTCCCATTCCCGATCCCTCTCAATATCTTCCATTCGGCATAATAAATGCCCCAGGTCGCTACAAAGATTCCCAATCTCCTTTTTCCATTTTTGCAAAACGTTTTCAACCATATCAATTTTTGAAATTAGGTGGGCCGAGGCCCCTTCTTGTTCACCTCTTCTTTGTTCCCCTATGCTTCCTATAGGAAAGATTTCTTTATCTTGATTCTCTTCCCTTATACCTAAAGACAATCTGGATTGGTCTCCTTCTGAATTAATAGACCTTTCACAATGATTCTCATTATTTTGCGACTCTGGGCTTTTTTTTCCTTGCGTGGGCATATATTTTTTTATAGTGGAGGAGCTTGTGGTTGGTTGGGGGGTTTTAGGGACTCCCCCTTTATTCGCTTTGCTTCTCATTTTTCTTTTTTCCCTTTCCTTTTCCCTTCTTCTTATTCCTGCTCCCATGTATAGCTAATAACTCTTCAGTTACTTATCGAATGAAATATTGCTCTTCTACTCCTCCTCACCATTCCTACTAACAAATCTGTGGGAAGAGTCTTATAGTCCTCAGTAGTAACACTCCATTTGACTTTGCATACATTGATACATATTTCTAGAGCAGTACACAGTCCCGCTATGTCACAAGGCCACAGGACCTCTCTATATTTCTATCTTCAATCGTTTTACAGATTCGAATTGTATTATGTTGCAGTGCAATAACAGTTCATATATAAAAAGTTTTTACATAGTTCTACTGCAACTCACCCTCCTCTTCAATTTCCTCTTGTGTTGCTGTTCCTCCGAATATTCCAATTGAGCTCTGCAACTTTTATCTTCAGGTCCTGTCTCCTGTGACCTCCTTTAATCTCTCTATCCCTGGGCGATCTTAAATGTTGTTCATTGGGGCTCCTTTTATTTTTATTTGATTTACTGGCACTGGGGTGAAGTTATTGGAGCTCACTGGGGTTTAAACAGAGTTTCTTTTCGTTTTTACACTCCATAGCCCCTCACGTTTCCCTCTCTGGCAGGTAGGCAGGCAGGCAGGAATTTTAATACAAAAGAAACATTCTTTGTCTCCTCTGCATTAAAATTACCTGCCTGTCTACCACTGTAAAGTGAGCCACACATGCGCAGCTCACTGTACAAAGTCAGCAATGCCAAATCTGACTGAACTCCCATGTATGCATGGGAGTGATGTCATCCCAGCCCAGTGGCTGGCAATCGAGACCTAGAAAATGTCAGCAGCCCAGAGTCGCTGCATCGCTGGAGCTGAGGTAAGTATAGTTCCACTTTAAGGTAAAAATGTTTCACTTTACAAACACTTTAATATCACTTTAAGGCTCGGTTCACACTAGCTGACTCCAAAGTTATGCAATTTCCCGTGCGATTTTGGAGTATGAGTTTGATGCGACTTTACACTCTATGGATCAAAGTCGCACCAAAATAGTGCAGGCACCTGTTCAAAGTCGCTGAGACTTTATGTCGCACCAATTTGAATGGGTGCCATTGAAAAGAATGGGCTGCAACTTATCATGCGATGTCCAAAGTCCCACAAGTGTGAATTGAGGCTAACTCCGACATTTCTAAACTTTATACTTGTGGTTTTCTTCCCCTACCAGCCCTTTATCTAAAATTATTTTGTGAATTTTTTATGCAAAAGCAAATAATTCTAATGAGGTGTGAAACCACCTCTGTTCTTTCCCTACCTATGGCATTACAGGGACAGTCAGTGAAGGAGGGTATTTGGCCAACTTCAAGGCTTCTATGCCTTTATGTCAATCTTATATCTTATATCTCAGAACAGCCTTTATAGATGGAGGTAGAAATGTCTTGCTGGTGTGGAATTAACAGAGAAATAGTTTTACTTCACAGTAAATGAAAGTAAAGTTTCTAAGGCCCTCCTTTTTTCTTAACTGTGGTTTGAACTCATGCATTCTTTTCACAGGTATGGTTTCTGAGGGTTCTGAGTGTTTTGTAATGTCACACAATCATTTTCAGTCTTACTCTGCCTAGTAAGGGGTTTATTTTATTTCAGGTACTTATACATTGCCGTCAATTTACGCAGCACTTTACATATATATTGTACATTCACATCAGTCCCTAACCCTCAAGGGGTGTACAATCCAAGGTCCCTAACTCACATTCATACATATACATACTAGGGACAATTTAGACAGGAGCCAATTAACCTACCAGCATGTTTTTGGAGTGTGGGAGGAAACTTGCATACCTGGAGGAAACCCCACACAGGCACAGGGAGAACATGACAACTCCAGGCAGGTGGTACCCTGGTTGGGTGTTTAACCTCCCTTGAGGTATTCCCGAGTGTTGCTCGGGGTAAACTTTTAGCACCACAAGCGGTAACCCAGAACTACACTCGGGAATACCCTGCAGCGTTGCTCCGGGATCTCTTTTTCACTTACCTTGTCCTTCGCTCCCACGATGTCCCCCCTGGAGCGTCCCCGACAATGTCCACATTCACTAAATACACTAAAATACACTAAAATCACATAGTAAAACATTACTGTATCAAACCATTTCACATACATTTTGTCCCGAGTGCTTTGTCCTGTGCCCTGCCTGCATTTTTACTGTTCTTTCTGCCTGGAAACTGAGAAATGTCCATGGCGTCCAAAAAGCGTCCCTTTAGGTCAAAAGCGGTTTTAGACCAGCTAGAGAACAGCGATAGTAAATTAGAACTACTTGCAGAATTGAGTGATAATGATTTGTGAGGAAATTCGTCATCAGACACTGAAAACGACTTTGCTCAGTGATGTGCGAACTTGGCGCTATATTTCAAATTTCAGTGTTTTTGGTTTGATTATATTATTGAATTAAATTTATTATTATATTATTATTATTTTTTATGATTATTAAATTATAATTTATGATTTCATGTTTCAAATTTTAACATACCTGGGATGTTTACTGACTCTTGTTCGGACAGATTTCAGTGAGTTATAACTAAAAATTACAGGCCTACAATAAAAAAAAATACATATTTCCATGCAAAAAAATGTACCGCTCTGAGCACAGAAATACTGACATAATCAGACTGCTAGGGAGGTTAAACTAACAACCCTTATACTGCCAGGTGGGAGTGCTAACCATTTAGCCACTGTGGTTTGTTTAATTCATTACCACTCTGGCTTAGACACCAGGGTAAAACATGTAAAGAATAAAATATTGGGGCTCTTCAACAGACTCCTGTGAAATATAACTCATTACTCCTATGAAACATAACCTAAGTCGCACATCAATTACAACTAAGGTGATTTCACATTCAGTTATGATGAGATAGCACTACTTTTCAATACCTATGGCAATGGAAATTTTATGAAAAGGAGTTTGTTAGCGTTTGGAGTTACAGTATTTGTGGTCAGTTTAGATTGGTTTAGGTTAGTGTAGTACTACCCCTTTAGGAGTCGCTGAGTCTTTGGGTCCAGCTATAGTCCTGCACAGCCAGGCAACACCCATCTTCCACAGACTTCAGAGTCAGTAAACAGTTCTTGAGCTTATGTTTCATTTTTTTTTTTGTGTTAAACTTGTATGAGGTAAGGAGGGTATGGGATGCCCAATGGAACTGCAAACCGAGGACAAACTCCTTAGCAACCATGTATACGTTTTTTACACAGTAGAAACTCTTCTTGGAGAGCTCTCCAGCCTCTCTTGGTGTACCACCCCAGACCCCAGATAATCCTCTTCTTATCCAGCTGCCTGAGGGAATCCCTGGGTGAGGGAATTCAGTACCTTCCACCTCAAATTAAACAGTCCCGGGTAAGGAGCTAATCAGGTTTCCCACCACAATGCTCTCTCTTCCCTTGTTTGGCCCAGGAGGTGTAGGATTACTCAGTCAGTTGCAGTCCTGCAAGCAGATTTAGGTAGGTGGCTGCCTTCAGGCCTTCTGCTGGGCTGGCTCCTTTACTGGTTCTACTGATGGTCCTTGCTCTGTGGGCTGGTGAGGCTGGTGAAGCAATCCTGCTTTCCAGTGCCCTGCCTATAGGTTTGCCCCCTCCTAGGCTCCCGCATCTCAGTTTCCTCACATCTTCCCGAACTCTCCTACTGCTGAGCAGGCTCGGCCACTTTTAAGGGCTGTCCTGACCCCATGCTAAGCTTCCTGCTTGGGGATTGGACAGGATCTCTTAAGAGTGCAGACCAGCTTCTGTGTATAGCCCTACAGAACAGCCAGTGCACAGTTCACATGTTTTTATCTGCTGCTTCTCTGCAAACAGGAAACAAGAACTTTATTATAGAGAAAGAATCCCCTAGATGCAGCTTATAATAAACATAAACACTGCCATCTACTGGTTGAAGAAAATACCCAAAACTTTTTTCATGGTTCAAATTCATGGTCTTTCCATTCCACAGTATATATGGAGTTTTATCAGTTGATTTTCCTGGTAGTTGATTTTGGAGATAGCATGCGGTCATAATTGCCTCCCCCCCAAAATGTGGTTGGCATATCTGCATCAAACACCATGTTTCTTCCACTCTCACATAGAGTTTGATTCATTCTTTTTGCAACCCTGTTTTATCCGTGGTTGTATGGTACCGTAGTTTGAAATATTATGCCATGCTTTCTGAGAATCGCCTGTGTGTTATCATCTGTTTATCCAGTTCCATTATCTATCTGTGCGCAATACACTCTGCATTTTGCCAAATGTGTTGCTTACTTGAGCCAAATACTGTTCATGTTTCTCTGGTACTTCACTTTTGTTGTGTAACAGATATAGGTGTCCGTTTATGACACAGAGAATAGCTGCGATTCAGAGGATCGCAGCTATTCTCTGGTCATTCACAGTTTATGACACTCAGGAGATCAACGGAGAACATGTTCAGCCCTTCACTGGAGATCTGTGTTCTCTCTCCAGATTCTCCAGCTCAGAGCTGGAAAATCGGAGGAACCACAAACTATGGTGTCCATTTATGACACAGAGAATAGCTGCGATTCGGAGGATGGCAGCTATTCTCTGGTCATTCACAGTTTATGACACTCAGGAGATCAGTGGAGAACATGTTCAGCCCTTCACTGGAGATCTGTGTTCTCCCTCCAGATTCTCCAGCCCAGAGGTGGAGAATCAGAGGGACCGCAAACTAAGCAGCGATAATTTACCTCTGCTTAGTAAACTGATCTTTTACTGTAATCTCGCGAGATTATAGTAAAGTCAGCCGTTTTCCAGCATTTGTAGACAGTTCTCCAGCGTTTGTAGACCGTTCTCCCTTCGTTTGGAGAACTGATCTACACTGCTTCATAAACTGCATTGACAGGAGAACTGTGTTCTCCGAGAATGACGGAGAACTGAGCAGCGATCTATTACCGCTGGTTCATAAAAAGGACACCATAGTGTAGGATACCTGGAGTAATCATCTATAAAAGTGAGAAAATAACTCTGCTTTCCTGGATTACATTTTTCCATTGGACCACAAAGATCTGAATAAATAAAGTTCAGAGGGTTTTTTATTTTAGCTTTGCTGTAACTCTGATTTATGACGGCTTTTCTTATAATTTTTCCTTTTATACACCTGGGGCATTTCATGATTTGATTACATGAAATGTATTCTACTTGCATAGTCATTCTCAGTTAATTTCTTTATTATGTCAGGACTTCTGTGCCCCAGGTGTCTGTGCCATGTGTGAATGCAATTTTAGTCCTCATGCACACATAGACTGTAATCAACGTTTTTTGGCAGGGACGTTTTTTGGCTGGAAAAAAAAACCCAGGACTAGTGAGTTTCTAGAAGAGTTTTTTTTAGTTGTAAAAACGCTCTAATGCTAAAAATTCGGTAAAATGCATTTTTGGACTTTTTGTGACAAAAAAAAAACCTTTTTTCGTAAAAAAAAAAAAAAGGCAAATGCGAAAAAATTTAAAAAAAGTGGTGAAATGCTAATGCAAAAACACTAAAAAACACTGAAAAACTCACTTTTTAACATGACTTTACTCAGCTAACGTTACCAACTTTATTAAAACGTGCATGAAACCAGGGGCAGACTGACAACTCATGGGGCCCCTGGGCAATAGGGGATCATGGGGCCCCTGTGTCCTTCCCCAAACAAAAAAGCCTGTGAAAAAGGTATCAGGGGCATCTCATGGGGCCCCCTACTGACCCCGGGCCCTCGGGCAGTTTCCAAATGGTCAGTCCGCCCCTGCATGGAGCCTTACTGTTTTTTCTCCTTGGTTGTATTGACCACATCATTGCAGTTCAGCTGATACAGTTCATCTGTAATTTTAGCCTGTACAAGTAAGATATCCTATTTTGTGATGGCACAACTGTCACTTTGGAAGGTCACTACATTGCCTTGATTTCTGAGCTTCTTCATTGACAAAAGATTAGTTTCAAGAACAGGTACAGGACATTTTTCACAGGTTTGCCACATGGAAGAAAAATATATTTTAAATATACTTTAAAAATATTCTTGCCAAATATATTGACATATATTTGAAATACTACAATTTTGGCCATATTCAATATATCTAAAATATATTTAAATAAATATATATATATATACACATACTGTATGTTGAAATGCGTTTTTATTACAAGATATATGAAAAATGTCTTTAAAAATACATTTAATCTACATTTTTTAATGCATTTACAAATATATGTAAAAATATATGTTAAAATTACTTTTTTATATGCTAAAAAATAGTATATATTTAAAAATATTTTTAAAAATATTTTTCATATATTTTGTAATATATAAAAAAAACGCATTTCAACATGCAATATATATATATATAAATATATTGAATACTGCCAAAATTGTACTAAAATATGTCAATATATTTGGGAAGAATATTTTTCAAATATATTTTGAATATATTTTTCTTCCATGTGGGTTCTATCTCTTCACACTCTGGGAAATAGAACAGTAAAGAAAACTGTCTATTTCTTCTGATTCCATCATTTGCCCATTAGCTGTGGTGATTTTTTCTGTTTCACTCTGGTCAAGGTGAATAAAGAAATTTCTGCCATTTGTTATGTGACTCATAGTTCCTGAATCAACACACCACACCTGCAAAGATGAGAATTCCTGAGTAGGGGTGGAGCTATGAGTGAGGCTAATAGCAGTGCATTTAGCGCTCCAAGTCAAAAAGTAGGTTTGGGAAAATTATACTAATAGTGCGGGGGCTTAAATTTGAGACTATGTACACAGTGAAGAAGTCAGAAGTAAGTAATGGATATAGTGCAGGGGTCTGGGTTGGACATCGTGCAGAGTGCAGGGGTCTGGAGAGTCAGGTGTGTAATGTATAGAGTTTGGGGGTCAGGAGTGGATGATGCAAAGTGTGGAGGGGTCAGGTTTATCTAATGTACATAGTCTAGGAGTCAGAAATATATACAACAGAGTGCAGCTTCCCCTGTGATTTTTTTTCACCACCACCTTCTTATACAGAGCACAAAAATGTCTGACACAGCAACCACAACACATGTGATTAACCTCCCTAGCGGTCTGATTATGTCCATATTTCTGTGCTCAAAGTGGTACATTTTTTTGCATGGAAATATGTATTTTTTTATTGTAGGCCTGTAATTTTTAGGAATAACTCAAATTTGAAACACGAAATCATAAATTATAATTTAATAAATAATCATAAAAAATAATAATATAATAATAATAAATTTAATTCAATAATATATAATCAAACCAAAAACACTGACATTTTAAATATAGCGCCAAGTTCGCACATCACTGAGCAAAGTCGCAAAATCATTTTCAGTGTCTGACAATTCATTATCACTCAATTCTGCAAGTGATTCTAATTTACTATCGCTGTTCTCTAGCTGGTCTAAAACCGCTTGTGACCTAAAGGGACTCTTTTTGGACACCATGGACTTTTCTCAGTTTCCAGGCAGAAAGAACAGTAAAAATGCAGGCAGGGCACAGGACAAAGCACTCGGGACAAAATGTATGTGAAATGGTTTGATACAGTAATGTTTTACTATGTGATTTTAGTGAATTTACAGCCGTTCTGTCCCCGTACGTCCCGACGTGGCAGGGGACGGAACCCAGATGACAGATGCCGGCATCCGCCGGAGGACATTGCCGGGGACACTGCAGGAGGGACATCGCGGGAGCGCAGGACAAGGTAAGAGAAGAACAGATCCCTGAGCAGCGCCGCATGGTAAGCCTGAGTGTAGCTCGGGGTTACCGCTTGTGGTACTGAAACTTTACCCCGAGCTACACTCAGGAATACTGCCAGGGAGGTTACAGTCATGTGACATTTAAACTAACTACTAATACTGTGCTGTTTTGTACCATGTGGATTGTTACATACATTTAACCACTGCACTATGTATGCTGTGCTGTATGCAACATATTTAAAGATGTGCACCCTGCTGTATGTTACATACCACAGGCCACAACATTCCATACATGTTGTGGACTGCTGCATTCTTTATACTATGATAAACATTACATACTCTGCACCACTGCATTCTGTACATTTAGCTGCATATTATAGTCTGCACATTGTGCTGCATACCACATACTACAGACAGCTAAACGCTGTAGACCAGTGCTGTTTACCTTCCTTGATATAGAGCCACATATTATATCCAGGAAAATGTAATGCTACAGAAAGCTGTCAGAGGCTGTAGACATTCAATAGGACATGGTCAAAGTCTATGGGCAAGCTACAAGAGATGGTCAGGGACCATAGACATGCTTCAGGAAGTTTCTAGAGACTGCAAACATGCTAGTTGTTGGAGACTGGGCGCATGCTTCCAAAGCCAGTTATAGACAGGAGACACATTACATGGTACTGCAAGGGATTACTGCTATTACAGTCCCATTACAAACCAGTACTTCCACATTTGTGCTCCCAAGAGCCCTCTTAACATTTATTAGTGTCCAATTTGTTATTTTGTTCAGCAAGATCCATTATAAAAAATTAGAGGAAACACAAAAAAAACTGTAAAAAAGAGGATGTCCATCACATAAACCAAGCTCAACTGCTATAACACAGTCTAAAGAATAGTCTCCTTTCACTGGCTTAGTAAGAACTCCTGTAAGGAAAACATAGATTCCTGTAAGCAGGGGCCTGGAGGGCCAACCACTAAGTGCCAAGGGGCTGCAGGTTGGAGGCTAGTGCTGTAGTCCATTACGTATGCTATGTGGACCAAACCACTGTGTTTATTTTTGCTTCTGCATAATGAGGAAGGGGGTGGCACATTGTAGCTGAACTAAGCGTTGGTTTAACAAACTAAGGCTGAGTATATACTTCACGTTTTTACTTGCTCAACTTAGGGGGCAGAACAAAACAAAAACCCTGAGAGATCGCCATACTATTCGCCCCCCACCCCCAATCAAAGTACACTGATCTCAGCCAATGGCTGCCAGTGCTGATCAGATTCTGTTTTTTTCCAGCATGACCATTCAATAGAAGCTTCTGTAGAACAGACATATGTACTCGGCCAAAAGTCATCCGGTCCCTGCCAAACTGACCATTTCCAGCCCATATGTATCCAACTTTAAAGGTGCGCTAGCAATGAGAAGGTGAGAATTAACACCAGGGGGAGAAAGAGAGCAAGCAATTAACATAGTTCTAAGGCTGAAGGGTTTTTACCTTAATGCATTTTCTGCATTATGGTAAAAAACCTTCAATGCTCAGCTCCCTCCCCCAACCCCCCTTATACTTACTTCAATCCAGCTATATGAACAACAGCAGCAGCTCTCTCGGCTCTCTGCTTCCTCATTGGTTCAGAGACAGCAGCGGGAGCAATTGGCTCCTACTGCTGCTGTCAGTCACAGTCACTGGGAAGGGAGAGGGGGTAGTGCCGAGCCACACTCTGTGTCAAAACACAAACAGAGCAGGGCGTGGGAGCCAGCATGCATGAGTGTCCCCATAGCAAGTGGCATGCTCTAGGGGCAGTCGGTGTGGGGGGGAGCAGCCAGGAGCACCAGTGGGGTCCAGAGAAGGTAAGTATAACATGTTTGTTATTTTTTATTAAGATTTACATTCACTTTAAACAAGCAATTAAGGAAACCTGTTGTTTTGCACTGCTTATGCCAAACAAGGATTCACATAAATGCATTAATTTAGGGGATAGTTAAATGTTAACTGCCCATTTGGGGGAGGGTTAAATGCTATGGATGTGTTCTAATGCATGGAATATTTTTTATTAAGTCATAGGAAAGCTGAGCTTTTTAATTTGCTATTGGTGATGGAAGCCTCTCCCTGAGTTCTGGGTCTGACATCCCAGCACCAATATTTCAGACGTCACTGCCCACACAGTTCACATTTTATAATATATTATATGTTACACCCATATTCAGGGAGTAACATGTTACTGCTGCAGCTGTCCCTGTGCATCTCCCCCTCCCCCCCATTCCTGAGTCCCTGCAGCAGGGTGGGGATCTTCTCCCTGCGTCTGCTATCACAATTTTAACACAGCTGTGCAGGCTCCCCCCACCTGGACGGATCATTTATTCACAGAGTTCTGTGAATGGGGAACTACAACTACTGTCAGCCTTTGCGGCTGACGGTTTCTGATTCTCAATGAGCTACCAGAGCACTGTAAGCACTCTAGGTAGTTGATTGATGCTGCTAAGCAAACCTACTATAACACTCTCATCAAGACCCTCTCATCCAATCCTCGTCAACTCTTCTCTACCCTTAATTCCTTACTCCACCCCCCACTGCCTCCACCCACCAACTTACTTACTGCACATGAGATTGCCAGTCACTTCAAGAAGAAGATCAACACAATTTGTGATGAGATCTCCAGTGTCAAGCTTCCTCCTCTAACCAACATACCAGGCCCAACACCAAACTCAACACTCTCCTCCTTCGATCCTGTTACCTCCAAGGAAGTTACTGATCTCCTTTCCAAGGCCAATTTCACCACCTGTCCTCTTGATCCTGTCCCCTTCACGACTGTTGCAGCCTCCTTCCTGCTCCATCCTAAACTCTCTAACCCACATCTTCAACCTCTCACTCCCCATGGGCACCTTGCCCATCCACACTCAAACATGCACTAGTTACCCCCATTCTCAAAAAACCCTTGCTGGACCCAACCTGTTTGAATAACTTAAGACCCATCTACCTGCTCCCATTTGCCTCCAAGCTTCTCGAGCACCTTGTTCACAACCGTATGAACTGCTACCTCACCGACAACAACCTTCTTGATCCCCGACAGTCTGGCTGGCTTCTGCCCACAACATTCCACAGAAACTGCCCTACTAAAACTCACTAATGACCTACTAACTGCTAAAACCAATGGCCATTACTCCATACTCATACTCCTTGACCTTTCCACTGCCTTTGACACAGTCGACCACCCGCTCCTCATCAGCAAACTCCACTTGATCGGCCTCCATGACTCTGCTCTCTCCTGGTTCTCCTCTTACCTTTCTCAGCGCACTTTCAGTGTCACATACAACTCCTCCTCCTCCGCTCCTCTTCCTCTGTCTGTTGGGGTACCCCAAGGTTCTGTTCTGGGCCCCTCCTTTTCTCTCTGTATACCTCCTCCCTGGGCCAACTGATAACCTGCAAAGCGAAACAAAAACGAGAAGCGCACCAATCCTGCGCATTACCTCATTAACCAAAATTTAATAATGCAAAATGATACTCACAAACAGCGAATAAAATCAGGCATGTAAATCCTCAGAGGGACTTGAAAGATAAGGAGCCAGCGTGAGTCCCATCATTTGGGTAGATTCGTAGTACAGCTGACGAGTTTCGAAGCGTATCCCTTCTTCATCAAAGCTCTGATGAAGAAGGGATGCCCTTCGAAACCCATCAGCTGTACTGAGTATCTACCCACATGATGGGACTCGCGCTGGCTCCTTATCTTTCAAGTCCCTCTGAGGATCGGCCAAATCGCCCACTCCGCTCCTCCCATGATATCTTCCTCTCTAGCTCCCTCATCACCTCCTCCCATGCTCGCCTCCAGGACTTCTTTAGAGCCTCTCCCATCCTCTGGAACTCCCTACCACAGCATGTCCGGTCAGCCTCCACCCTGTCTGCCTTTAGGCGATCTTTGAAATTGCACTTCTTCAGGGAAGCCTACCCCACCTCCACCTAAGAACTGTACTTGAATCACCTCCACCAGATCATCCCCCACAGCTATTACCTTTTGTATCATCTCCCCCTTCCTTTAGATTGTAAGCTCCATGAACAGGGCCCTCACATTCCTTCTGTACTGAAATGTATTGTAATTGTACTGTCTCCCTTATATTGTAAAGCGCTGCGCAAACTGTTGGCGCTATATAAATCCTGCATAATAATAATAATAATTGATTCTTCCCTTCAGTGTGTAACTGCCTGCCAATATGAGCTATGAGAAGGCAGCTTACACTGACAGTCTGCAGGGGTCCTGCATTACACCTGCGATTTGCTGATCGTGGGTGCAATGCTATACAGGCTCCCAATAAAAAATAAATAAATGTACATTTTTTTACCTGCAAAAAGATGTGCATTTATTTTTGTTTAAATAGTGAACTTATAAACAAGTATATATGATATAATTTCCTAACTATTTACTAATGCTAGCAGCCTAAGGATTAAAAATAGTCAATGTTGATTGAGAAAGTGAAGTTCCACTTTAATCATTCTTTTAATTTATGTATCTTTGTTTTTAATAGATAAAGATTCAAACTGGGCAGTGGAGTTGATTCCCTAAAAGCAAAAATACTGTTCACATTGCAAGGTATATTGCATATTGCAAAGGAATTTTCCCCAAAGATTACTGAATAATATTTCACTTTGCACAAGGGAAATAAAAAAAAAAAGTGTGTTTTGCTTGAAGCTGATTAGATGATGGGAGTCATTAGAGCTTCATCTCATTTACTAAGCTCTGGGGAATATTATCTTGCAAAGTGCAACCTCCCTTGTAAAGTGAACAGTCTATTTGCCTTTAGAAAATCAGACACAGTGATTCTGAATCCTAACAAAACACAACCTGTAAAACAATCTAAAATGCACAAACAAAAAAAGCAGTTATTCAAGTTTATAGCAAAAAAATTTAACTATTAATCTGGTCTTTGTAGTAAGTATTTCTGACATGTCCGGGGTAAGCGCAGGAAGAAAACAGACACCATGCATATGTTTGCGCTGAAAAAACAAAAAATTCATTTATGCATACTTCACTTAACTTTTTTTATTAACACAGTGCTTTACCTTTCTCAAAACTTTATACATGTGAAGAAAAAAAAGAAAAGTCATTGAATTATATCTGTATCATTTTTTAGGCAACTTCATGTCCTCTGTCTCAGTCCATCTCCTGGCTCCTGTTCAGATACAGCATGATAATGGTACTACTGTCCACCTGGCTTGTTTGGTGCAAAAGGCTTATCATAGGATTTACATAAGATGGAACATTTCTGGTGCATACTATATGGGCAGGATGAGCTCTACCAATGAACGTGATGGAACCTGGACCTTTCTGAATTACATTTCACTTCCTGTAGACAACTGGAACCAGAGCGTAGCTTGTGAAGTTTGGCTTGGTTCCTCTTTTGTAAGCTTTACCTGGAAAAAGTCAGAGAAAGGTAATACAATTCAAACTAAAAAATACAATTATTCATTATGCCTTTATTACGTGTAAGTGTATAGTATGGCCAGTTATAAATTGGAGAAAATATGGTGTTTTATGAAGGTTCTTTTGCAAACAATAAGTTAAAATGCTTCTTCAAAGGCTCCAATGTGGTCATGTTTTTTACATACAAGAATGCAACTGCAGACCCTATGACTGCTATGGGACCCAGTGACATGGTTTGTCACAATACATTCCAGCAGCTTAACACGATCTAGGAAATAATTGCTATAAATGGAATGTTTTTACATTTCCAATAGAAGTTTAGTATGAAAATGATTAGTAGGATATATAATTCTTTATTGTGATTCAAGTGTCCCTAATGGAAGTAACTTTGTGATGGAGTCTGGAAGGTAAAGGAACTATATCATAATTTTTATTAGAGCCTATCACTTGCAGATATATCTCTATAAAGTGCATTTTAATATCATGCAAAGAAGGACTCTAAAGGAGCCCTACAATGAGAAAAACTGAAGGCTGCCATTGTTTCCCAAAACAAGCAAGAAGCACATGAAATCAAAACTCCTGATCTGCATATTTGTTTTAGGTCAGCGACTCAGATATAATTGAGTACAAAAATGAGGTACTGAACTCTGGAAGCTGTGCCTAAAAAAAAAGCACACACAACGGCAAAGGACTAGTCAACTGTGTTGCTGGTTTTCTCCCTGATCTTTTCCCATTACTGATGTACAATGCCGTGTCCTCTGCATGATGGGGACAATCTTAGTGGAAGGAGGACTTTTCCTTCCTCATGTCACAGCCTCCAGCAAGGAAAATAATGAGCTGCACAGCGGTGACATTACCCAATATCACTCTAAATCTCATGAGACTAGTAGTCAAAGGCAGAAGTGCCTTAGATCTCACACTGCAGATATACAAATATGATGTTGTAGGCACAGGATTGACTAGCTGCCCTTGCATACCGGAAGTGCACTTCTATTTTAAGGAGAAATTTCATACAAAAAGTAAATTTTCAGCATATTGCATAGGAACAGCTAACATTTTAAAATTTTCCCTACAACATAGCAAATTTTCACTTGAGCTCAATCCCATTTTATATTTCAATGTTTTTATTAGTTTTAGAAAACAGCATAAAAGAGAAAACAACTCACAGTTGTGGGTTTGTAGAGTGCCAAACAATAAATCTATTCATTCAAGAATGATGCAGACAGCAAATCATTAAAGTTAAAGAACAGGGTGAAGTAGGCAGTACCACCTATCAGTGCCAGTCCGTGCCGCCTATCAGTGCCAGTCAGTGCGCCTATCAATGCCAGTCAGTGCAGCCTATCAGTGCCCGTCAGTGCTGCCTATCAGTGCCAGTCAGTGGCACATAAAAGTGCCAGTCAGTGCCGCCTATCAGTGCCAGTCAGTACCACCTATCAGTGCCACCTATCAGTGCCATATACGAATGCCGCCTTCCAGTGCCCATAAGTGATGCCTGCCAATGCCCATCAGTGCCACCTACCAGTGCCTCCTCATCAGTGTCCATCAGTGACACCTATCAGTGCCCATCAGTGCAGCCTATCAGTGCCCATCACTGCAGTCTCATTAGCGCTCATCAGTGAAGAAGAAATATCGCTTATTTACAAAATTTTATAAAAAAAAAATAAGAAAAAAAACTTTTTTTTCAAAAGTTTCAGTTGTTTTTGGTTTGTTTAGCAACAAATAAAAACCCAAAGGTGATTAAATACCACCAAAAGTAAGCTCTATCTGTCTCAAAAATATTCTACAAATTTAATATGGGTACAGTGTTGCATGACCGCGCAATTGTCATTCAAAGTGTGACAGCGCTGAAAGCTGAAAACTGGCTTGGGCTGGAAAGGGGTATAACTGCTCTGTAGGCAAGTGGTTAAACATGTCCAGTAAAAAAATTTAAAAAAATCAAATTTGGTCATACATTTAAGCCAAAATGTATTCTGCTACATGAATTTGCTAAAAAAAATCCCAATTAGTATAAATTAATTGGTTTACGTGAAAGTTATAGCGTTTCCAAATGCCGGTATTTATACTGGGATTTTTTTTTTATATACTAGTAATGGTGGCAATCAGCGACTTATAGTGGGACTGCGGTGGGCATTCTGACATTGGGGGAGAACTGACTAAATGCCACTGACATCCCCAGTGACACTAATACAGTGATCAGTGCTAAAAAAAAAAGCACTGACACTCTACTAATGGCACTGGGCAGGGAGGGGTTAACATGAAGGGCGATCAAAGGGTTAACTGTGTGCTGGGTGTGTTTTACTATGGGGCGGTGTCTTTGTGTTTCACTGTAATCACACTGCTTTGGATGGCTGTGCAGTGTCCAAAGCAGTGTGCCCGAGCTGACAAGGAGGAGAACCGTTAGTAAACAAAACTGTTCTCCCCATCAGAGATCTTCGGCAATCACCAGATGCTGGCGAGTAATCACTGGCCAGGACCCGGTGATTGCTGCGCATGGTGGTGCGGGTAGGGAGAGTGCCCCCTACCCGAAAATGCGAAATCATGTATATATACATGATTTTGCGCATCCATGCCACCCTGTAGCAGTATTTCTGCTATAGGGTGGTGAAAAGTGAATAATATGCATTTACTGAAAACAACTGCAGACATACATACTGTATTATTCTCATCCCCAGCTGACAATACCAGATATAAGACACACACAAGGGTTTATTTACTAAACCTGGTTCACTCAGAATCAAGTGCACTTCTGCATGGAAACCAATCAGCTTACACGTTTTCTTACTAGAGCTTAATTGAACAAGCTGAGATTAGAAGCTGATTGGCTACCATGCACAAGTGCATGAGATCTGAATGAACTAGCTTCACTAAATCTCCCCCACAGCCATTACAATCACCAATTGTCTTTGGGTGTCTTTAACAAAGATGGAATTACAGCAACTTAGCAATAATGCAGATTTCAAAGTAATTTATTTAGGGTACTTATATAGCATTGTCAATTTACGCAGTGCTTTACGTATATATTGTACATTCACATCAGTCCCTGCCCTCAAGGAGCTTACAGTCTAAGGTCCTTAACACATTTACATACTAGACCCGGGTTTAGACAGGAGCAAATTAACCTAACAGAATGCCTTTGGTGTGTGGAAGGAAACCCATGCAGACACTGGGAAAACATGCAAACTCCAGGCAGATAATGCTGCCATAGTTTGGATTCGAACTGATGCCAATAGTGCTGCCAGGTGGAAATGCTAACCGCTTAGCCACTATGCTGCCACATAATAGTTAAGAATCCTGCAAGCATATTGATTTTCCTTTGAATTTGCAAAGGAATAGGGATATCATATGAGCATGCCCAACAACAGAAAGAACTATGTACATTTGCACAGTAATAAATAGATGCCGTCCATTTGTGTGGTTAATAAACAGTTACAAGTACAGCACTTGTGTTTCATAATCAGAGGGGATTGAACACTGAGGTGTTATCAGTAGTGACCAACAAGATTCCATGATGGTGTTATCTTGTTCAATCAGCTTGTTTAACCCCTTCCTGTTCAGTTCGGAACCCTATTATCCTGAGAGGATGTCCTATGACAGCCACACCCCACCGTGGCATGATCTGTCACCCACTGTGTCCACCAGACACAACCGATGATAGATCACTGTACTGACCAGCTGCCGGTACCAGGTGATCACTGTGGCCAATCACAATAGATCACAAGACAATTGTACACAATGAAAGGCTTTGATTCATGCCTTTTATTGTGCACTATTGTGATGAGCTTTGTGATCACAGTGATCACAGGGTACAGACAGAGCCAATCACAGCCCATCTGTACCATGTGATAAGCCATGGTCAGTCACAGATAATCACAATAGTAAACATTGAATGAATAGTTTTCATTCAGAAAAAAATGGTTGCTTATAACTGTAACATTCACAGTTATAAGCAATCATAGTGTGTAAAAAAAAATAATAATTTTGATCACCTCCCCATAGTACAGTGTTACTTTGGTAACACTGTATTGATGTATTGATCTGAATTGCTTTGGTCAAAAAATTGTAAAATATATATATATATATATATATATATATATATATATATATATTTATAAAAAAAAAATTGAAACATTAAAACTAAAAAAAAAATTTTCACATGTCACCAGTCAGTGTCCCTAATCATCCCAACACCAGCTATATGATGATGCTGAACTGCACTGGTGACAGCATGTAAAAAATTGGGAAACTTTTTTTTTTTTTAATTTCTTCATTGTCCTAGGAACAATTGAGTACTGTCCGTGATACTTTTTTTATTTGCACTAACATACAATTTTGAAGACAAGCTTTCGGGGAATGTCCCTTTCTTCAGGTCTAAGCAGTACTCAAGGGGACATTCCCGGAAAGCTTGTCCTCAAAATTGTATGTTAGTGCAAATAAAAAAAGTATCACAGACAGTACTCAATTGTTTCTGTCGCAAATGCACTAATACGGCTACAATCACCTCAAGCAAAATGGAAGACAGTTCATTGTCCTAAAAATTGTGACAAAAAAATTATAACTTCAAAAAACATGCCATGCTCTTACTAAATATCTTGGAATGTGTACTTTCAAAAAGGGGATATTTGTACTGTTCTGGCATTTTTGGGCCTCAAGAAATTAGATAGGCCGTTAGTACATCAGGATCGATCAATTTTCAAAAATACTGCTCAAAAAAATGAAAGGAACACTTTTTAATCAGAGTATAGCACCAAGTCAATTAAACTCCTGGGATATTAATCTGGCCCTTTAAGTAGCAGAGGGGGTTGTTAATAATTTTAAGCTGTAAATCACAGGATAAGTGAGCGCTTAAAATAAAATGATAAAAATGAATAAAATTGAATAAAATGAGATAATAGCAGCTGAACGCCAAAAAAGGTACCATATAAACCTCCAAAATAGTCAAAATACATAAAGGGGGGGTGCAGCGCTAAATTATTGTGCTTAGAGCATATACACACATTCATGCAAGACAGTATTAAGGTGCAAATAAAGTGCAAAAAAGATTTTTGTCACTTATAGGTGACTATAGGTGATTAAACATAACACAGTCTATGACGTGATCAAGAAAGATCCCAAGAAGATCTTCAAAAAATCCAATGGCTGGATCCGTGGATGAGGTGATAAATATGTAAAGATTGCGCACTCACCAGATACGCAATCACAATGCGCATTCAAAGCAGATACTCTCAGGACATCCAGGATCCTTATATGAGTCTGGTCAGATCTGGTCAAGAGCCCCTCGCCACTTGATAGTATTGCCACACATGAAAAAGGCCGCTCTGCAGATGTAAATGGCTCCCACCGGAGCCCAAAGAACAAAAGGAGGCCAAATAGTGTGATACCTTTTCTTTATAATAATTGCTGTTTATCCTGTTCAGGCTCTCATACATTTGGTCACATACTTCTGGATCTTGAATCTGTGTAGTCTCTCCTTCCCGGAATGCCTGAGTCACCCGCTGCCTCAGGAAGGCTCCAAGGTCCCGTCCTTTCCTAGTCTCGTCCACAGGCCATTCTTCACATAGTTTTAGCTAAACTATAAAGCTGGAGAGTCTGATTTTGGACTCTCCAGCTTTAGTAAATAAACCCCCATCTGTCATCTTGTCATACAAGCACGTGGGGGCCATACAAACTACTGAGTTACAATATGAGTTGCTTCAATGAAATTTCAGCAAAATGGACTAGCCTGCTACATCATTTTTTCACTTTGATTTTCAGGGTGCCTTTGAATTCAGTCCTCTGTAGGTTGATAATTTTCATTTCCATCAAATGATGGAACAACCTTACGTTCCTAACACATTACCCAGTCCATATCAGTATAGATATCCAGTATGATGTTTTTCCCCATTGAGATCTGATGTGTTTTTAAAGTGTTCCTTTACTTTTTTTGAGCAGTGTATATATACCATAGTTTGTGGACTCTATAACTTTCCTTCAGAATAGGAACAGTAAATAATACACACAAAGAAAAACATGTTTTTTTAAAAAAAGTTTGACCTTTTTTCATTTATCTAGGGAAAAAAAAATCAGCTGTGATTACATACCACCAAAATAAATGTCTATTTGTGTGAAAAAATTATAAAAATTTCATATGGGTACAGTGCTGCATGACCGCACAATTGTCACAACCCTGAAAGCTAAAAATTGGCCTAGGCAGGAAGGGGTAATGCAGGCCATAGACGGGGAAAAAAACGGCCGATTTTTCTTTTAAAAAACGAAAAATCGGTCGTTCAAGCGGCCGACGTTACCAGCAATGGTAAAAAAAATCGGCTGATTTTCATCCCGTCTACAGCCGGCAAAAAGTGTCCCTGCAGAGAGCTCTGCTATTTCTTTGACAGTTCTTTGACATTTATAGCGGTTGCAACAATGTATCTATTTGTATCCATTTAGGATACAGATGTTTTTATTCGGAAACAAATAGATACAATGTTGCAACCGCTGTAAATGTCAAGGAACTGTCAAAGAAATAGCGGAGCTCTCTGCAGGGACACTTTTTGCCGTACTGGAATTCCTCTTATTTTTCATCCTTCTTCTTCTTCTTTTTCATCATCCTCCTCTTCTTCTTCATCATCATCCTCTTCTTCTTCTTTATCATCATCATCATCCTCTTCTTCTTCTTCATCATCATCCTCCTTCTTCTTCATCCTCATCTTTCTTCTTCTCATCATCCGCCTCCTCCTCTTCTTCTCATCATCCTCTTCTTCTTCATCATCATCCTCCTCTTCTTCTTCTTCTCTCCTCTTCATTCATCACCCTCATCTTCTTCTTCTTCATCCTCTCCTCTTCTTCTTCTTCATCATCCTCCTCTTCTTCTTCTTCATCATCATCCTCTTCTTCATCATCATCCCCTTCTTCTTCTTCATCCTCTTCTTCTTCCTCTTCTTCTTTTCTTCTTATTGTCTTCCTCTTGCAGGTCACTGCTCATGCGCAGATTTTTTATCGGTAAAAAATCGGCCGATTTGCCCATCATTGTCGAGAAAATCGGCCGATCGGCAAAATCGGCCGATTTTTTTTTCCAACTTTACCGATAAAAAAAATCTGCCAAAATACCGAAAAACGGCCGAACAAATAGCCCACTAACGATCCAAAAATCGGCGATCCGAAAAATCGGCCCGATTTTATTTTTATTTTCGGCCGAAAAATCGGCCGATTTTCGACCCATCTATGGCCTGCATAAAAGTGTCCGGTATTGAAGAAGTTAATTAGGCCTTGATGATCAAACCTGGAAGATGATGCAGCCCTGCACCAGATTTTGTACACTCCAGTTTTAGTAAATATCCCTGTAGCACCCTCTAGTGTGCTACTAGAATAGTGTAGGCAAATCTATTGTGTAAGACTCATGGTAACTGTGTGAGTCTGTGATTAAGGTTGGGTTACTGCATGTCAAGCTGGACGATTTAACAGGCTGGGACTCTTATCACCTCCACCTGGTTCTGTAGGACCATGGGAACCTTCCAGAAGCCAATAAGTGGAAGAGGTGGAGACTTAATCTGCATGTTTGTGGCAGTCTAACCAATCCCATGTCTGGAAGCCCTGGTAGAGTGGTGGACCAGCCCAGAAATATGGGATAGTCAGGCTGACTGGGGAGTTGGGTGGACGATGGAGTGCTGAGGAGACTGTCAATGGCCTGGTATGGGTCTCCTAGGTCTGCAGGGGGTTGGCTTCCAGGCTGGGCTTGGGCTTTCTCAGGAGGATCCATTCAGCAGTACGACATGTAGAGGATCAAAGCCTGGGAGCAAAGAGGACAGAGTGAGTACATCAGCACACCCTGGGATTCATAAGGGGAGAGACTGCCACATATAGCAAGCTTTCAATGGACAGTGCTGTGCTTAATCCTTTATCTTTGTCCTGGGAAATCTTCAGAGCAGCCAGGAGGGCTGGTAGTGTCTGCAGGCTGTGGAGCTGGGAGCAGTTCTACAGGAGAGAGGAGACATCTTTCCATGTAGTATACAAGAAGCTACGTTGATTTCAGAAAGGCTGCTAGTTGTAACCTCGCTTGTAAGAGGTTGTTACTACTGGCCCACAATGACTGAAGGCTTTCAAGGAGAAGAACAGTCCAGGATCTGTTTCTGTAAATAGGAAGGAAGTTGTTGTCCCCGTGCTTTGATTAAATTAACTGCTTCCCGACTACCCTGTAGCAGATATACTGCTACAGGGCAGCACGGGTGTCCAAAATTGTGTACATATACGTGATTTTGCATTTCCGGGTAGGGGGCGTGCCACTGTTCGCAGCCGCAGCTGTCAGTTACCAGGTCCTGGATGGTGATTACTCGCAGGCCTCTGGTGTTTGCTCACGGGCCCCTGGTGACTGCACAGCCATCCAAAGCAGTGTGATTACAGTGAAGCGCACACACAGAGCTTACTGTGAAACAGCACACAGTTAACCCTTTGATCACCCCTCATGTTAACCCCTTCCTGCGCAGTGCCATTAGTACAGTGTCAGTGCTTTTTTTTTTTAGCACTGATCACTGTATTGGTGTCACTGGGGATGTCAGTGACACCAAGTCAGTTCCCCCCAGTATCAGAATGCCCGCCGCAGTCCTGCTATAAATTGCTGATCACCGCCATTCCTAATAAAGATGAAAAAAAGAAAATAAAATCCAGTAAAGACATGTAGCAGAATACATTTTGTCCTAAATTTATGACGAAATTAGATTTTTTTAATTTTTTTACTGGACATGTTTAATAGCAAAAAGTCAAAAATATAGTTTTTTTTTCTCAAAATTGTCATCTTTTTTATAGCGCAAAAAAAAGAAACCCCACATGCTATCAAATACCACCAAAAGAAAGCTCAATTCATGGGAAAAAAGTACGTAAATTTAATTTGGGTGCAGTGTTGCATGATCGCGCAATTGTCAGTTAAAGTAACGCAACGCCGTAACGCAAAAAATGGCCTGGTCAGGAAGGGGGGTAAATTCTCAGGAGGGCAAGTGGTTAAGTTGGGCATACCATAATCCCTATTACCATATCCATATTATATATCCCTAATAAAATAACAAAAACCAAGCTCATGGACTGTTCACTGACTGTGGATGAAAGTGTGGAAAATGTGTGTTGCCTGGCTGTGCAGAGCTTAGGGGGACCCAGGAACACAACAGCCCTCACGGGGTTGGGCTACATCCCCCAAAAGCTTGTAAATATTTGACCATCACTCCTACACCGTATGGTCAAAAGTATGTAAGCAAATCATTGGGCTCTGATGTTCCAGAGAAGGGGACTGTAATGCTACAGCATAAGAATACATTTTAGACAGTTGTGTGTGCTTTTCAACCTTGTAGCAAACGTTCAGGAAAGTTCCTTTTCTGTTTAAGTATGAATGGGGTGTGTAAAGACTTGGTTTAACCCTTTCACTTTCAGAGCCATTTTTGCATTTTTTTGCACACTTTTAAAAAATCATTTTAGGCCTGAAGATAACACAAAACCCCCAAAATATTATATATTTTCTGAAGGCAGACACCCTAGAGGATAAATTAGTGCTAGTTCCAATCTTTTATGTCACACGATATTATTGCAAAGGTCTAGGAAACGCAACATTTCAGTAAAAAAATCACACTAAAGTAAATTTTAGGGCAAACAAACGCATTAAATTACCCACATTTTTGGTAAAACATAAAAGACGAGGTTGTGCCGAGTAAATAGATACCCAACATGCCAAATCTTAAATTTGTGTGCGCCTATGAAATTGCGTCAAACTTCAATATCCTATATTTTCTGTAGATGATTCTTCAAAATCCCCAATAGATCATCAGTTTAGCATAATGGAGGAGGTCTGGTATTAGAATTATTGCTCTCACTTTGGTGTGCGCATTGATCTGTAACATGTGTATTGCGTGAGTTTATGTTCGTGCATGCATATATGTGGCAGTGGGGGAGCCTCAAAATTTTTTGGGGTCGATGTTATGTGCTTGCGTGTAACTTTAGTTTTTTTACAAAGAAAAAATTTTTTAACTTTTTTCTTTTTATCACATAGGAGACACAAACTCCCCTATGTGATGATTTTTTGGTGACAGGTTCTCTTTATTGAGAATGTCTCCTCTGGGCTCCATTAGATGTGTTGCAATGCAAACTGCATTGCAATACATCTTTTCCTGGCTATTCTAGCAGGGAAAGTGACAGCCATGATTCGGAAGTGACGTCATGGACGCTGCCCTCCAGGTCACACAAAAAAGGGGAGGGGAGCTTGTCCTTTCTCCTCTCTCCCCTCCCAGCACCCGTCATGGCTCTCCCCGGACATGCAGATGGGCAAGAGGAGCCGGTTACATGGCGGGAGTGCATCCGCGGGGCAGGGGGCACTGGAACTGGGGGCTGTGGAAGCGATTGGTGGCAGCGGAGCTACCTGACTGCTTCCACCTGATAGGCCTGTCGGTTTTTATACACAATTCTACTGGCTACAGGCCCTGGATTGTGTATAATACCTCCTGCTGTCAGATTCGTACAGCGTATGGAGCTGGCAACAAAAGGGTTAAAGAATTTGGTATGGAGAGACTTGAGTGGCTTGTACAGAACCCTGACCTCAACCCTACTGAACACCTTTGGGATAAAGTGGAACACCAACTGTGAGCCAGGACTTCCTGTCCAGCATCAGTACTTGCCTCAAGAGTACTTTTTTGATGACCCACAGAGACACAAGGAAGGACAGTGGAATCTGTTAAAGACACAAGTTTACATGTTTTGGTAAAAGGATGTCCAAAAACTTCTAGTCGTATAGCGTAGTATAGAATCAATAATGCTAATGTTCAACAATTTTTTTCAGTTGTGAAGAACTAACATGCATAAATTATTTTAAATTTATAGTGCCAACACGTCCAGCTAGTACCCCGCGTCTTCAAATGTTCTCATTCTGTGTGAGATTTGTCTTGGTTGTGTGTATTCTACTGACATTGGTCATTTTTGTTCATCTCTCATCCACATACGCTTAAGGTAATGTAGAATAATTGTGTAGTATTTATTGTAGGTAATAAAGAACCCTAAATAACAATTATTTTATTAATTGCAGGAATCATCTCCAGAAGAACCCCAACATGACAGTGCTGTTTCCTTCACTGCATGGAATATAGGATGAATCAGTATTACAGTCATCTATATATTTTACTTATTTCTTCTTTTTGTTTTCCGCTTTCTCCTCCTGCCATTATATTTCTTGTCTGAATGGCTTCCAGTTCAGTCCCTCCCTGTTTTCCCTAATTGTTCCCCTCTGAAAAGCAAGCAGACCACTTTTTCACAGGGGATGCAAGGACTGCTGCCAGTCTGAACGTGGCCTAAGAGTGAATACTCCTCTGTTCCACAATCCCCAATCCTTTGCTGCAGTCCTTGATATTCCTGTGCAAGTTTCAACATTTAAAAAGTTTAAGTTTTCCCAGGGCTATGCAAGAACCTCGTGTCCCTCTGTGCACTTGAGGCCAGCTTGGCTTCTTGTGCACCAAGCGCTATACTGTGGAAAGAAGATGGACATTTCATGTGTTCATTTTTATCCAGAAGTATCAAGCTTTTGGCAAGCTCTGTAACAACTTAGGGATGAGGAAACTCTATCATAATGAGCATAGTACAAGCGCAGACTCAGGAACTGACTCAAAGATATATCAACAATAGTGTGACAAATATAATAAATATAATCAGATATAAGAAATTTTCAGCTGTTTGGACTCCCCAGCATTCACCAAAAACTAAAATATCCATTTTGGGTTGACTGGATCTTTAAGGAGCCTTACATAGGTTATAGATGTGAGTCTTTATTATTACATAACCACAACAAAGAAAATAACAGACATGGTAAATAAAATGTGGCGACTGCAGATATTTCTAGCTCTGTAGTTATGCAAAATGTATTTATTATTTACTGTTATAATTGCCATAATGGTTTAATATCTACATTGTGCTTTAGCATTCTGCTTACTGTACACATATTCAGATATGTTCATTATTGCATTTATTTCCCACCCATTCTATCCCCCCTCATTATAATTTTCGCCCCTCTCTCTCTCTTTTTTCTTTCTTCCAGTGTTTTTTCCATTTTTCTCCATTTATTTTTATTATTCTTTTCCATATTTTTAAAATAATTTATATTCCATATTCTTAATTTTTTTCCTTCTTGGTGCCTATTTTCCTGCTAACACTATTCTAGCCTCTCTTCCCCTTTAAACCACTTGCCCTGCTGAGGATTTACCCCCCTTAATGACCAGGCCTCTTTTTGCTACTCGGCACTGCACTAATTCAACTGATAATTGCACGGTCATGCAATGCTGCACCCAAACGAAATTTACGTCCTTTTTTTCACACAAATAGAGCTTTCTTTCGGTGGTATTTGATCACCTTTTGCGCTTTTTATTTTTCACGCTATAAATAAAAAAAGACCAAAAATTATGAAGAAAAACTATATTTTTTACTTTCAGCTATAAAAAATATATAGTAAACTTAAAGTTAGTTATAAATTTAAGCCAAAATGTATTCTGCTACATGTTTTTGGTAAAAAGAAATCCCAATAAGTGTATCTTGATTGCTTTGTGTGAAAGTTATAGCGTTTACAAACTATGGTATAGATACTGCAATTTACGCCTTTTTTTGCTATACAGCGCTGCGCAAGTTTAACGGACAATTGCGTGGTCATGCAATACGGTACATAAATGAAATGTATGTCCTTTTTTTTACACAAATTGAGCTTTCTTTCGGTGGTATTTGATCGCCTGTGCGTTTTTTATTTTTTGCGCTATAAAAAAAAAAGGTTGACAATTTGACTATAGGTATTTGAGGTATGACTATATTTTGGACTTTTTGCTATAAAACATGTCCAGTAAAAAAAATTTAAAAATCTAATTTCGTCATACATTTCGGCCAAAATGCATTCTGCCACATGTCTTTGCTAAAAAAAAAAACGCAATACGTGTAAATTAATTGGTTTACGTGAAAGTTGTAGCGTTTACAAATGGCGGGAAAGATACTGGGATTTAAAAAAAATTTTTTATACTAATAATGGCGGCGATCATCGACTTATGGCGGCGATCAGTGACTTATAGCGGCGATCAGCCACCTATGGCAGGACTGCGGCAGACATTCTGACACTGAGGGGGACTGACTTGGGGTCACTGACATCCCCAGTGACACCAATACAGTGATCAGTGCAAAAAAAAAAAACACTGACACTGTATTAATGGCACTGGGGAGGAAGGGGTTAACTATTTTTATTCACTGAAAGGGTTAACTGTGTGAGGGGAGTGTTTTACTAGGGGCGGGGGTGTGTACTGCACAGGGACACGCTGATCAGGAGAGATAAACTCTTCTCTCCGGCTCAACATGTCAGGAGCTGACAGGGAACTGACAGAGAGCAGAGCTACTGCAGCCCTGCTCTCTGTCAGTGATTGCCGCTAATCGGCGGGACACAGCCGGTAATGACCGGCTGTGACCCGGCGACGGACACCTGCGGCCACGATCGGCAGCGCAGGTAGGGCGGTAGCGCGCCTCGCACGCGCCCCCTACCTGTTTTGCAAAAGCGCGTTTTAAAACGTGGTTTTGCGCAGCCGTGCCGCCCTGCCAACGTATTTCTACAGTGGCTGGGCGGCATGTGGTTAAACTATTAACCATAAGTTTCCTGCTCCAATTTACGTCTCCCTCTGAACATATAAGGCTCCCTCCCTGTCTGTGTCTTCCCCTATTCTTGACAAATGAGAGGGCTGGTCCGATCCTGCGCATGCTCAGAAACGCGTTGCATGCTTATGACGTCATGTGCCATCACCACTGCTCTGGACTGCAGAGAAAATTGCCAGGCTTTCCCTTCCAGGCTCCATCTTGCAGTGCTTGAGCGCTCCCTGCTGTCCAGCCGAAGTCCCTACAGACTTTCCAGGCTTACACCACAGGCTCCTTTAACATCTCTCCAGCGCTCCCTGCTGTTCAGCTGGCACTCCTGTTCTCTGGTCCAAATCAACACATGGCATTGTGCATTGTTAACCCCTTAAGAGCCTTACCTTTACCATCTACATGTGAGTGGTTTTAATCATGCTCACCATTAAATACTTTTAACAGTCTACACTCAGAGGTGCTGTTTTTCTTTTTACCTACTCCAGAGTCACTTGTTTCACTCTACAACAGCTTGCCAGGTGTCTCCAGACCGTTTGTTCCCCCGCCAGCTCCTCACCACACACTCAACCTATAGACTATACGGACTGCGTATTCCATGCACCCAGGGGCGGACTGACCATTTGGAAACTCGAGTACTGCCCAAGGGTCCGGAGTCAGTAGGGGGCCCCATGAGATGCCCATGGTACCTTTTTTCATAGGCTTTTTTGTGTTTGGGCAAGGACACAGTGGCCCCATGATCCCCTATTGCCCGGGGGCCCCATGAGTTGTCAATCGCCCCTGCATGCACCTGTTACTCCTTTTTTTAAATGTTTTATCAAACTATCATAACATAAGCAGATTGAAATATTAGATTAGAGAAACAAATCATGGTTTGTGTTTTAAACTGTGCAAACATTAAAGCTTGCACACCGGTATGGAAATAAAACAAGCCTAATATAAGAAAAAGCAAAGTTACACTTACGGTAATTCCTTTTCCAGGAGTCTTTCAAGGCAGCACCTTGAGAAACCTCGGCTCCTTCCCACCTGAGGAAACACCTCCACCCAGAATAAAAGTACAGCCTCCCACTCTGACCTCAGCTCACGACTTAGCACCTCCGGTCACCTGGGTAGACACAATAAAAGACACCTTACTGTATAATCAAATGCTAAAAAGGGTGGGTAACTGGCATTGTCCTGAAAGACTCCTGGAAAAGGCGTTACCGTAACTTTATATTTCAATATATTTATTAAGGATTTTTAGAAACATTATACAGAAAGACAGGAAACACAACCCACCAACATGACGAATTGCAGAACATAAAGCAATAAAACAGTAAATTCAAGTACAATGTGTAGCAACACAACAACAAAATCGACCAATAAAGTGTAATGAGGAATACACTGGTAGCACATGCAAAATCTGATCGATTATGAGCAAATTGCTCCATAAACAAAGTGGTATAAATAATAACATTAAAGTAGTAAACAAAAATGGAGAGAATGAAAAATGAGGAAAGAACTGAAGAAGAAAAATAAAGAATAAAACCCTGAAAAGAAATAAGAGAGTGGGCCAGCCAAGAGTCCGTTAAATAACAGAAATATACCGAATCCATGGGTCCCAAGTGCTATCAAATTTAGAAGTATTGTTATTAAGTATACTAGTAAGTTTATCATTAATCATAATCCAATTACGTTTCTGTTTGACTAAGTCCAGCAAGATTGCTGACTGTTTCCAAAGTTTGGCTATCGTAATTCTCGCCGCCAACAGGATATAAACAATCAATTTAATCGATTTCTTAGGAATATCAATGGGCAAAAAATAAAATAGAGCTATTTCAGGGGATCTACGAATATTAACCCCCGTTACTGAGTAAAGGTAATTAAATAAATGGATCCAAAACCTAGTCACCACAGGGCATTTCCACCATATGTGGGGCATAGTACCCTCCTGTCCACAATGTCGAAAACAGCTTGGTGACATAGAAGGGTACATGTTAGCAAGACGTGTAGGGACCAAATACCACTGAAGAAGCGTTTTGTAGTTAGATTCAACGAGTGTAGTGTTAATTGAGATTTTAGATAGAGCATTAGCCGTATTCCGCCAAGTGTCCAACTCCAGAGAAATATTTATATCCCTTTCCCAGTGCACCATATAAGAGAGCTTAATATTTGGATCAACAAGGGAAGCATATATATTAGATAGATGACCTTTCACCGTCCCCGTAGCCCTACAGGAGACCTCGAGAGGGGTGAGCATACAGGGTTCCGTTAGTAATTTAAGCTTGCTAGTAATAAAAGACATGATTTGATGATAGCAAAACAGTTTGCTAGAAGGCAGGTGGCACTTTGAAAATATTGGAGAGAACATGGACGAAGTCCTTCCAAATAATCCTCGATACGCAAAAAGCCCTTATTGATCCACCAGTAAAACACAGACGGTGCTAAACCAGGTGTGAATTCAAGATTACAAGGGCCAGAGGGGTATGTTGTGAAAATAAAGGCTTGTGAGCCCGCCATCTATCCCAGATAATTAGAGACAGCAGTAGTATCTTTATTGGGCTTAGGAATGACACTAATGAATGCTTTATTTTCGTCAGAAGGCACCACTCCCCCGTCTTGTAAACAATTAAAATAATGGGCCATATGTGAAGTCAGAAGGTCAGGGAAAGGTTTACAATAAGCATGAGGAAGGCCGTCCGTTCCCGGGGATTTATGTGGAGCTAAGGTTTTTAAGGTGTTCGCAAGTGATATGCTGATCCATTAATTCTCTGTGGGCCTCCTGAAGAGAAGGATGAGTCACAGAACTCAGGAAACTGTTGGTATATAAGAAGATGTCCCATCGAGGTGAATGGTAAAGATCAGTATAAAAGGAATGAAACTCTTGGAGGATCTTACTGGGAACTTGAGATAGAGCACCGGTAGTCAGTCTGATTTTAGGAAGAGAGCCACATGAGAATGTTTAGGAGACAGCTTGCGTGCTAATAAGGTGCCTGGTCTGTCCCTCCAAGCGAAAAATTTGTGATTGGCCCAGTGTAACTGCTTATTCGCCATAGTAGTAAGGCACAAATTAAGATCCAATCGGGCCTGGTCAAATTTAAACCAATAGAGCAGGATCAAGTGTCTGTTTATGTTGGGCAACAAGATCAGTATACACTTGAGTTTTAGTCAAAATCAATTCGTTTCGAACCTTTTTAAATCATGAAGACAGTTGAATAAGAAAACCCCTGACCGAGACCTTATGGGCCGCCCAATTAATAGCCGGAGTCGTGTCATCCGCCTTATTCATTTCAAAGTACAATTTCAGATGTGTGGAGATATCAGGACAATAAGAAGCGTTACCTAAGAGAGATTCATTAAGGTGCCAATGAGGAGCAGTCCTCCCATGTGTCCAAGACAAAAGTGTTAAAAGAACCAGGTCATGGTCAGACCAAGGTGTAGAAAGAATTTTAACTGTAATCAATCTACAAAGTGAATGTGTATGGAGGAATATATGATCAATGTGGGAATAACAGTTATGAGCCCTAGAAAAATGAGAGTAGTCTCGAGAAATTGGATTAGCTTCTCTCCAGGCATTGACGAGATTATAGCGATATAAGAGCTGAGCAAATTTACGGCTCTGTCTAGAAGGGGATTTAAGCATGACAGTACGGGATCGATCCAGCAGCTGATCTAATGCTAGGTTAGAGTCACCAGCCAAAATAACATCACCCTCAAGCTCTGAAACCAAAGAGCTCAATAAAGAGTGAAATAACTCCACCTGATTGATATTTGGAGCACAGTATACCAAAAAAGTGACCAAGTTTCCTCCCAAGTGACCTTTCACCAGAAGATAACAACCCTCCCAATCCCTAATAATTTTAGATTCAGTAAACGACAAACTGCAGGACAAACAAAGGGCTACCCCTCGTTTCTTCTCCGTGGCATTAGCAAAATAACAAAGAGGATAATCTTTGTGGACATATCGTGGGGTAAAAGATGGGGGAAAATGTGTCTCCTGAAGGGCTACGATATCGGCACCTAAAGAGCAGTATGAATTAAAGGCCTTAATACGTTTGGAAGGATAGTTGAACCCCTGGACATTATGAGAGAGCAATTGGATAACCCACCTATCAGACCGTTGGGGAGACATGATCAACAACTGGCGAACTATAGTCAGCGAGAGCTATCCCCTCCCAGAGCACGAGAGAAAGTACGATTAACCAATAGCAAGAATGGCTTACCCTCAGATAGAAAAAAGAAAAGAAAACATAGAAAAAGAAGAGAAAGAAGACATGCGGAGTATTCAAACCCTCGTGTCAAGCAACATCTGGTATTACACATTATAACACAAGCAAAGCAGAAGAATAAACCAGGATTGTCAGGACTAAAGCCCTGCAAAGGAAGGGGTCTACCAAGAGAACTATCTCAGGTGAAGTCTTCCAAGTGTGGGAGGGCCCATAGACACCCCCTGGCACAAAAAATAAAAATCAGCATAATGTAAACATTAATATAACCAGAACCCCACAAGAACAAATATCAGCAGAAATAAAGATCACATTTGTACAGCAGAAATAAAGATCACATTTTTACAACAGCTATAAAAAAAAAAAACATTTTTCCTTGAAACAGCCTAACAGTGGCGGCTAATGTTCCCAAGGAACCACTGAGAAGCCAGCACATAAAAATAGGAAATATTACAAAGCCCGAAACTCAAAAAGAAAAACCTCAAGTAGTCTTTCGATGCGATTTTGTCTTCCTGGAAGTTGAAGCAGACCACAATTACGAAAGCAGTGGAGAACAAGAGGTAGCTCCAGATGGAGAATGAGATAAAGGACTATGGGAAATGATACCCAATTGAAGCAGGAGTTCTTCACCTGCTTGAAATGTAGAGAACATATAAGGTTTTCCATTGTAGGTAAACTGAAGCTGGAAAGGGTAGGCCCACCAATAGCGGATATCCCGCCGTACCAAGTGGGAAAGTAATGGCTTGAGGGATCTCCGTTTCTGGATGGTGGTCGGAGAAACATCCGCAAAGATTTGTATTTTATGTCCTGCGAGTTCCAGCTCCGGAGTTTCTCCACCATATTTCATGACAGCTTCCTTGACCCGGAAAAAATGCGGTTTGACAATAACATCCCTAGGAGGCCCCCAGGGTCTAGGGGGATCACTGCCCTATGAATATGATCAATCTCTGTATGAGGATCATCAATTTCAAGCATCGCGGATTGCATGAGGGATTGAGCAAGGCTAGTAAGCTCTTTGACCGATTTCAAGAGCCCCAGTATGGAAATTGTCTGGCCCGGTTCTCTAAATCATAAATTTTAGAGTAGGCTTCATCCAATCAATCCTACAATGCGGTAATCATATTGGAGTTTTGGGACACATTATGATCTGTCGCATCAACTTTAGATTCAATACTATGAAGATGTTGGCCCAATTCTTGAAAATCTTGTTTCAGATCCGCCGACAATTTAGTAGTAGCTCTATCCAATTCTCGCTGTAACAGGTCAGCAAAAGGATCAAAAAGGGTCGCATCCTCCGAGTACTGCGTAGGAGCTGGAGGGAGTGTTGGCGAATTCTCAGGGCTATCAAGGTCAGGTTCCATACCACTGCTTTGGCTGAGAAATATAACAGCCATCTTATTATCCAATAGAGAGGAGGCTTGAAAGTCACGGCCTAGGGAGCAAGCCGAGGCCTGTGATACAGATATAACAGGGCTAGGAGGAGACTGAGTGGGCTGCATAGGGTCACTCACCCCTGCAGAAGAAGCCACCATGTCTTGATCCCGGCGTGCAGCTGCTGTAGAGCCAGATTTAGCTCTCTGAGGGAGAGGAGCAGCTGTCAGAGAGGCAGTGGAGGCTGCAGGAGCCGAGCTGGATGCCATCTTGGATCCCCTGCCCGCCACAGGCATCGGCAGCTGGGAGCCGCCGCAACCCCTACCCAATACACGATCCGGCATGGAGAGAGAGCTCCGGGACACCCGGTCCACTCTGGAGGTAAGTTGGGGTCCGTGTGGGGTTCAGTGCCCGTCTATGGGCTCTTGATGTGCCGGGGGGGTGCGGAGCGGTTACTGGGACATGTGTGCCGGCTGCCCGCGCATGTGCACCTGTTACCGTAAGTTTAACTTTACTTTTTCCCCCCCACCGTCTTTCAGGACAGCACCTAGGGTGAGGCCACTGCTTATAGAACCTTGCGTCTGAAGGCCTGCTCCTCCTCTACCGAGACCAGGTAAAGTCTATAATGCTTAACAAAGGTGTTGTAATTGAACCAGGTAGCAGCCCTAAAAATCTGTCCTGGGGTTGCACTAGCCAGCTCAGCGTACGTGGTCGCCATGGCCTGGGTGGAGTGCGCTGAGATGCCCTCCAGGACTTCCAGACCCTCGGTCAGATAAGCCTAATTGCCAGTCTTAGCCACCAGTGGTCTCTGAAATTCCAGACGGTACCCCTTTCTCACCATACCCAGGATAAAGGGACTGTAGGACACCACTTCCCACTGTGGGAGGAAGACCCCCAATCTTCCTCCCATGGGGGGAACATTGTCATTGCAATTTTTGGGGCTGCTCAAGACAGAAAATCGTTCCACCCTTGCCCCTTCCATTTGCCCTCAGGGATTTTTCTGTACTTCTGGCCTAATGCCTTTCACCCTGCTTCTGGGGACAACATTTTTTTTTTCCCTGCGCTTGAAGTTTTCTCTTAAGGGGAAAGGCTTTTTTTTCTGTCTGCGGTGCGATCCAGCACCATCTGGGCTGAAAAGGATATCCCCTGTGAACGGGATGCCACAAAAATTAACTTTGGAGGCGATGTCCCCTTGTCATGTCTTGAGCCACAGGGCTCTGCGGGCAGAGTTAGTTCAGGCCGCTGACCTTGCTGTCATCCTTACTGACTCCGCAATATAGCCTACCCCCTGTAGTAAGGTCTGGAAAGAGGGTAATATTTTGTCGGTCGGGGATCCTGCCACAATATGGGCCTGTAACTGTGCGAGCCACTATTCCATGTTCCGTGCTACCACTGTAGTGACCATGGCAGGCTTTAAGTTGGAAAGTGTGGAGTCCCAGGACATTTTTAAGAAGGGAATCTGCCCTTCTATCCATGGTGTCAGACAAGACCCCCATGTCCTCAAAGGCAAGGTCTATCTTCCTGGCTACCTGAGAAAAAGCTGAGGGCTGCATTGTTTACAATGCAGCTCTCCTCCCTGTCAGTTTGGGCACACTGCTCGGGATGGCTGAGCACAGCCATCCCGATCAGTGTGCTTACAGTGAAGCACACACCCCCGCCCCATAGTAAAAACTCCCCATCACACAGTTAACCCCTTGATTGCCTCTAAATGTTAACCCCTTCCTCCCCAGTGCCATTAGTACACTGTCAGTGCTTTTTTTTTTGCACTGATTACTCTATTGGTGTCACTGGGGATGTCAGCAACCACAAGTCACTTCCCCCCCAGTGTCAGAATGTGTGCCGCAATCCCGCCATAAGTCCCTGATCGCCGCCATAAGTCACTGATTGCCGCCATTATTAGTATAAAAAAAATCCCAGTATATATAACGCCATTTGTAAACGCTATAACTTTCATGTAAACCAATTAATTTACACGTATTGGGATTTTTTTTAGCACAGACATGTCGCAGAATACATTTTGGTCTCAATTTATGACTAAATTTGATTTAAAAAATTTTTTTACTGGACATGTTTTATAGCAAATGTCCAAAATATTGTTCTTTTTTCTAAAAATTGTTGGTCCTTTTTTTAGTATAGCACAAAAAATTTAAAAAATCACATGCGATCAAATACCACCGAAAGAAAGCTTGTGGGGAAAAAACGGATGTAAATTTAATTTGGGTGCAGCATTGCATGACCGCGCAATTGTCAGTTAAAGTAAGGCAGCGCCGTAACACAAACTACTTCTGTGACTGCTTCCTGACCGCCCTATAGCAGAAATACTGCTATAGGGAGGCACGGGTGTGCATAATCATGTATATATATACATAATTCGCGCTCCCATGGTTTTCACACCCCTGCCAGATAGCGTCAGATTGCCCGTCAGTACACCAGTAATCACATTTAGCCCCTTGTTTGCCAGGAACACACTCATACACAAACTTCCATTGCTAGTATAGTGTCTGAATGGATCAATATCTTTGATCACATCAGCACTATACCAGCGTTCACATTAGTATAGAGTCCCCAAAAACACAGTGTTAGCGGGATCAGCCCGACACCTGCCAGCACCTGCGTTTAGCCCTACGCTTACCCCCCCCCTTCTCCCCCAGCAAGTGCAGTGTCAGTAGGTCACTGTTACTTGATACATTGGACACAAAACTGCAGAGTTCGCAGCAGGGGCAGACTGACAACTCATGGGGCCCCCAGGCAATAGGGGATCATGGGGCCCCTGTGTCCTTGCCCACACTCAAAAAAAAGCCTATAAAAGGTACCAGGGGCATTTCACTGACTCCGGGCCCTCGGGCAGTGCCTGAGTATTTGAATGGTCAGTCCGCCCCTGATTCGCAGAATCAGTGCCACCCACCAGTGCCCCCATCAGTGCCACCCAGCAGTGCAGCCCATCAGTGCCCAGCAGTGCCCCCATCAGTGCCACCAGTCAGTGCTGCCCATCAGTGCCGCCTATCAGTGTCCATCATTGCTGCATATCAGTGCCGCCTATCTGTGCCACCTCATCAGTGCCCATCAGTGTTGCCTATCAGTGCCCATCAGTGCAGCCTCATCAACGCACATCAGTGAAGGAGAAAAATTACCTGTTTGCAAAATTTTATAATAGAAACAAATAAAAACTTTTTTTTCAAATTTTTGTCTCTTTTTTCGTTTATAGTGCAAAAAATGAAACACCCAGCAGCGATTAAATACCACCAAAAGAAAGCTCTATTTGTGAGAAAAAAATTACAAAAATGTCATATGAGTACAATGTTGCATGACCGTGCAATTGTCAAAGTGCGACAGTGCTGAAAACTGAAAATTGGCCTGGGCACAAAGGGGGTAGAAGTGCCCGGTAGGCAAGTGGTTAAGTAGCAGGTCAGTCTCTCACTACTCACTGCCCAAAGAACTTCTACCCACCTTTGGAGGACCCCTTGGTGGCAATGCTTGAACTAATCTGATCTAATCGTTTTGCTCTTTTGCTTGAATAATATGTACCAAAATGTTTTCCAATATAATACAAATAAAAATTAATATATTTATTTACATACAAAAAATGGAATACATAAATATATATTATATACAAATTTAAATAAATATATTGAATGCTGTACGAATTAAATATCTACCTTAAGAATTCAATTTGTCACAAAAGTACAGAAGTGGTAAAACGTGCTTGGAGCTGGTGTAGTACCCCTGTTTGACGCTAGATGTCGGTGGAGGTTGCATTGTTGCACAGACCGCAGTACGCCGATTGCGCATGTTGTGAGATACAACCGAAACGTAACACAGGAGTCCCAGTGACCCCCCCAGCACCGGGCAGGAGAACAGGCCGCGCTCCTTGTGTCCGAACGGCTAACGGGTCACTGTGCAAGGGTAGTGGGCGGGGGGCGCCGCCTGGGGGCGCTCTTATAGCACTTTCCAGTGTGGCGGGATGGTTTGTTAGCTGTGCTCTGTGTGGTGATGAGAGGACAGGTGGACACGAGGGGCAGACGGCCTTCACCAGGTCAGACATGATCGGCTGTGTGTTCAACAAATGACACACGTGGTTTTATCCGGAATATGAAAGTCCCTTCATCAGTATGCTTTATGCTGCTCGTCACACTGGAGGCAAGACAGGCATTTGCTGCAGAACTCAATGGATTATTATGAGGAAAAGTTCAATGGTGGCGATGGGGTTTGGGAGGGAGGTGTACAGGTTCAATGGTGGCGATGGGGTTTGGGAGGGAGGCGTACAGGCTCAATGGTGGCGATGGGGTTTGGGAGGGAGGCGTACAGGCTCAATGGTGGCGATGGGGTTTGGGAGGGAGGCGTACAGGTTCAATGGTGGCGATGGGGTTTGGGAGGGAGGCGTACAGGCTCAGTGGTGGCTACCCTTTGTGGATTTCTGAGCTGGAGTTTCACCTTACCCCCTGTACTATACCTGCACCCCAACCGCATCACTGAGCTTTCCCCTCCCTGCTTTGCCCCCCACCCCATCACACTACCACTGAGCCAGAACTGCCCCCCCCCAACCCAATCACCAGCTTGCACTCCCACCCCCCCCAAGCCTGCGCTCCCCCCAACCCCACCACCACTGAGCCTGCATTCCCGCTCCTCAACCCCACCACCACTGAGCCTGCACCCCCCAACTGAACCTGCTCTTCTCCCCAACCCCATTGCCACTGAGACTGCACTCCAACCCCACCATCACTGAGCCTGCACTCTTTCCCCCCCAACCCTGCCACCACTGTGCCTGCGGTTCCTCCAACCCACACACCCATCACCACGGAGCCTGCACTCCCTCCCAACCCCCCACCATCACCGAGCCTGCACTCCCTCCCCCCAACCCCATCACCACCACTGGTGAGACAGCACTGCCAACCCCCCCAAACTCATCACCACTAGAACTAAGTCTGGTGAGCCAGCACTGCCCCCCCCCCCCATCACCACCACTGGTGAGACAGCACTGCCCCCCCATCCCATCACCACCACTGCACCAGCACTGCTGAGCCAGCACTGCCCCCCCCCCCCAAACTCATCACCACTACCACTAAACCTGTACCCCCAGCCCCACCACTGAGCCTGCACTCCCACCCCCCCCCCCAACCCCACTGTGCCTGCACTTCCTCCAACCCCACACCACCACTACGGAGCCTGTGCTTCCCCCCCCAACCCCATCAGCACTACTGAACCCGCACCCTGTCCACCACCAAAACTGAGCCTGCACTCCCCCCTACCCCCCAACCAACCATCACCACTACTGAGCCTGCACTGCCCCTCCATCACCACTACCACTGAGATTGTACCCCCCCAACCCCATCACCACTACTGAGCCTGCACTGCCCCCCCCCATCACCACTACCACTGAGATTGTACCAACCCCATCACCACTACTGAGCCTGCACTTCCAACCCCACCACCACTATGCCTGCACTTCCCCCAACTCCATCACCACTAGTGAGCCCGCACCCTGCCCACCACCATCACTGAGCCTGCACTCCCCCCCCCCCCCCCCCCATCACTACCACCACAGGCTGCACTCCCCAACCCCCCCCCCCCCCCCCCCCGCCAACCCCATCACCACCACTGAGCCAGCACATGCCCCCCCAAACCCCATCACCACTACCACTAAGCCTTGTATTCCCCCCCCCCCCAACCAGCCCCACCAATGAGCCTGCACTCCCACCCCCCACCACCACTGTGCCTGCACTTCCTTTAACCCCACACACCACCACCACGGAGTCTGCGCTCCCCCCCCAACCCCATCAGCTCTACTGAACCCACACTCTGTCCATCACCAAAACTGAGCCTGCACTCCCCCCTACCCCCCAACTAACCATCACCACTACTGAGCCTGCACTGCCCCCCCATCACCGCTGCCACTGAGATTGTACCCCCCCCAACCCCATCACCACTACTGAGCCTGCACTTCCCCCAACTCCATCACCACACTAGTGAGCCCGCACCCTGCCCACCACCATTACTGAGCCTGCACTCTCCCCCCCCCCCCATCACTTCCACCACTGAGCCTGCACTCCCCAATTACCCCCCCCCCCAACCCCATCATCACTGAGCCTGTACTCCTAACTCTAACCTCACCGCTGTGCTTGCACACATGAATATTTGGTATAAAGGTTGGTTTGATGGCAAAAACTACAGCACTGCATATTGAAAATGAAAGGTCATTTTTTATAATGTTCAATTACAGTATGGCTTGTGTTTCAATTGTGCTGTATACTCTAATTTTTTTTTATTTGCCGATTTTTATTTATTTTCTCCCATAAAAGGAGTTACCCTTTAACTTATTTCAGTCAGATCTACCACTATGTAATGTAAGGGCCAGCGCATAGAAAACAAAAAACTTCCTAAAGTTTTGGTAAGTTAAAGAGGGTTATAGAACTTGTACATGCAGATTGTAACTTGTATGATCACCTCTAAGCTGACCATACCCTATACAATCTGGTTGTAAAATGTTATTTAGATCTACCATCTAGTGCAAGGTTTGTCCTTTATATCGCATTGATTTGGTAAATCTAAAGAAGATTGTACAATCATTTGTATAGAGCTGAACATACACTATACAATCAGATCGTACAATCTCCATTTGATCCAAAATTGTCCATACGCCTATATGATCTGATTTGCAATCTGTGCCACCTCCTTTTAGGTTACCAAAAATATGTAATATAAAGACAAACACAAACCATCTGTCCAAATTTTATTCTGCCAGGCAGGCCCTTCAGCTATTGAACTATTGACTTGATGGTAGATTTTAGGATTAGTTTACACTTGCGGTTGGAGGGAGGGGGTGAGGTAAAAACACATGGTTGAGTTACGGTTTACTGCCTCCCAACTGCTCTTCCTCACACTGCATGCTCAGCAGCCGGGGTGTGCATATGCCACAGCTAGGATGCTTTGTGCATCGGCAGGAATTAAACCCTCGTCACATTCAGTAACACATACTCAAATGAATTGGGCCCTGCTGTAACTGCATGCAGTGCAAGTGGTTGCGTCTCAGTAGTGAGGCATTTAGGGGGTTAAAACAGGTTGAAGGGGTGACATATCACCTCACTGCCTGTCAAACTTCTCTGAAAAGTGATCCCGAGCACAGTTTGCTTTTTAACCGTTCCCCGTCCCCCCTGCTACAGGGTGGCACGAGTGTGCAAAATCGTGTGTGTGTGTGTGTGGTGTGTGTGTGTGTGTGTGTGTATGAGTTTGCATTTCTGGATAGGGGGCGCATGCCATACCCACGCCGCTGTTCGCGGCCTCGGCTGTCAATCACCTGATCCCAGCTGGTGATCGCGGAATATTACCAACGGAGGGAGAGAACTACATGTAAACAATACAGTTCTCTCCCCTGTCAGCTCCTGCACACTGCTTTGCATGGCTCTGCATAGCACAGCCATGCAAAGCAGTGTGCTTACAGTGTAAACCATTAAGGCTCCATGTACACAAGCCTGCCCTGACCGCCGGCTGCAGCAAAGTGCGGCTACCACGATTTGCCGCGTTTTCCCACGGTCGGCGGTCAAAACGTTTCTATCCTGAATACAATTCTTCCATGTTCAGGAGAGGGAGGTTTAACCTCACCTAAACGCGGCACCTCCTAAACTCTGCTAAAAGCCTATGTGTACATGGACACCTAGGCTTTTATGGAGTTGAGTTTAGGAGCTTTGGCAAAAAAAATGCCCAAAGCTTTTAAACTCGAGTTTAGGAGATGCTCCTGTAAATTGGGGTCTACACAGTCCACAGTAAAACAGCACACAGTTAACCCTTTGATCGCCCCACATGTTAACCTCTTCCTGCCCAGTGCCATTAGTACAGTGTCAGTGCTTTTTATTAGCACTGATATTGGTGTCACTGGGGATGTCAGTGACACCAAGTCAGTTCCCCCCCAGTGTCAGAATGCCCACCACAGTCCTGCTATAACTCACTGATCACCACCATTACTAGTAAAAATAAAAAAAATCACAGTATCTATACCGCCATTTGTAGACACTATAGCTTTCACGTAAACCAATTAATTTATGGGTATTTGGATTTTTTTGTTAGCAAAGATGTAGCAGAATACATTTTGACCTAAATTTATGATATTAGATTTTTTT